ACCCAAAGAAAGGGTAATAAAATACCTCCGGTACGCTCATTTGCCAGTTTACCTGCGAGGTGTCCCCCGAAAGCCACCGGTATGAGTTAAAGAAAAAATGCAACATGTTCTCCATTGTGTAACGACTGTTCTGGCTCAAAATTGTTCTTTTCCTTTCCTGTGTGGAAAGTCACAAGTCCTGCAGTCTGGTGATCATTTTTTTTGCCTCCCCCTGGAGGGCGGGTGCCTTTAATTACAAAAGTGCTGTTTGGAACAACGTGGTTATTCTTCTGTTGTTCGTGTCGCTTAAATACAGCTTAGGTATGTCTTGTATATTTGTAGGAAAAAATAGTTTCTGTGTTAGCAGGAAGAACCTGTCTGGAATCTTTTCCTACCGGAGAGATTACAGATGTCAGTACGAGACCTGACTTTCTACGGCATTCTTCAAAAAAAGTGGTGATTTTGTTAAAGATATGCTTGCTACGTCTGACATCCGCAAAATGCCAGTTACCTTGGCAAAGTTACGTAATTTTGAAATTCACAGAATTTACGGATGACAGCAGTCATGACCTGCCTCGCAAATGCTACTGTTTCATAAAGAGATGAATAGAATATTTCATTCTTTCGTGATGGATTTGATACTTTGAGTTTCCAACAGTGAGATTTCCAAGTCACAGTCAACTCATGCTGTATGAAGCAGTCTCAAGTCCGAAGAGCTTCCAGCGTAGGCTTGATGTATACAGAGCCGTTTTGCAAGCATGGTCATGTTGCGGCCATTCATAAATGTGCTGATGTGCTATTGCTATATGTGCTGTTGGTATAAGGGCGCTTACCATAGCGTTTAGAGCACAGGGTAGTTCTTGAACGCTGCATATTCCCTTTTGTATTGGCCAGCCAACATCCCCACGGGGAAGGTTTGCCAGTTTAGCTTTGGCAGTAAAGACCACTCGTGAAAGCGTTGGTGAGGTCCGGGTAGGTAACCCCCCTACGGTGCAGGAAGGAGGAAAGAAGTCGCCCGTGCAACGTAGTAGGACGGGGCAGATGTGGGAAGGGAGGGGCCTGCGTTCCCTCCTCCGTCCCCAGGCTTTATCCCTGGCTTTCAGCTGCCTTTTTATTTTGCCATCTTAACTCCCTTCGAGTAAGTTTCCATAGGAGTAAATACAGCAAAATTCAGCTCTGCAGTGGCATCGTGACAGCTGAATGTTTTCATGTGCCAGTACCACTGTAATCCAGCTTTAAGAAATCCTAGGAATATAATAGATATTGACTGGATTTCACCAATTTCATTATATTTAAAAATATATCTTCTGTTTCAGTGTGTTCCATATTACAAGAGATGATTTTGATTTAGTCGCGCACAACCGTAAAATGTTACTAACAGCTAATTCTGATATTCCTCCCAAACTAACCACGTTGTATTGATTTCCCAGTCATGACCAGCCATATGAGCAAAAACTATCAAGAGTGAAATTAAAATTAGATTAAGGTTTTTAGTTTAAATAACCTGTAGCAAGTTATCTCTCGGGCAGTACACAGATGAGTTCTTAAATGTGTACAGACATGAAAGTGGGTTAAAACATTCTTGTTTTGACAAAAAACAATGAAATTTTCATAAAAGTATTCTCAGTGATTTACTGCCTTCTTGTTCAGCACCAGTTTTAACAGGTTATGTGCTTTTAAGGTTACTGACATACTTAGAACATGCATGTATGGGAAACACATACCTCTACAAGCTAGGTGTGAATTTAAACTAATTTTGTTCTTGAATAGAAGCCCACGTAAAAGCCTGGCTTCCTGTGAAGGCTGCATCCATTCGGGTTAACTGTACTCTGTGGGTGTGTATTTCTGTAGAAAAATAGATGGCAAAATGTTGTTCCATGCTCAAGCCCTCATTAGCTGTGGGAGAAGTTCATTTTCTGGGTTGGTGGCGTTGGCTGTCGGAGCAATTGCATGTGAAGGTACTTCTATCACCTCTCCTTTTTTTTCCTCCCTTTCTCCCGTCTCTCTCCGCAGAACGTCGGCAAAGCTCTGCAGAAGGGATGCCGCTACTTGGTGGTCGGCCTGCAAGGATTAGCGATGGCCTATTCCGCTCCCTTTGGGGTGGCAGCTCAGGTGGCATCCTTCGTCCGCTAGCGTGGCTCCGCGCGCCCAGCCGGGGAGGACACGAGGCCACTGCTGCTTTCTTAGGATTAAATCTGAGACCCGCGTTTGAGAAACCTCTTGTACAAACAGTCCCGGCCCCGAACACCTCTGCCAGCCCCTTCCCCCGGACTGAGTGCTCTTCTCTGCAAAGACTTGCAGCGCTTTATAAAATCAGATCGGGTTGAAGAAATGCAAGGACGAGGAAATAATCTTTGGCTAATGGAGCTGAAGTTTGTTCTCGGACATGAGTTGGTTTTCTGAAGCTTTGGGCTGTGTGTGGAAGGGAGCCAAGGACAGATGGAAAAGCAAGTAGATGAGGGAGAGAGAAATGAAGGGAAGTAGAAGATGGGGGGTGCAGCTAGGGAGGTGGAGTTCTGAGTCTGGCTACTGAGAGAATTGTCAAAGCAGTGGAGGAAACAGGTCACGAGGGATCAGGAAAAGGTAGTCTTTGGTTTTCTGGTGTCCTTTCCCCCCACCCCAAGAGGGTTCAGATTATGAGTATACTTAAAAATATACTCAGATATAAACGGACTGGAGTCTGAGACACGGTGACATTTGCTGCATCATTGTTGTTCATCTCAAACACTGGAAATCATGGGCCTTTAAATCTTAAGACTGATTTTAAAATCCAGAAAGAAAATGAGGTGTGTTTGTCTTCCGATTTTGGGGCATTAAAGGTTCACTGTGATGAATATTTTAAACTTTTCCTCTGCTGCTGTGAAACCTGCATATACTTCTCTTACTGAGAAGGGAGTTTTTATCTGCCATACCTGATTCTGGAAGCTGGGGCTGGAAGAACACCCAGTTCTGTGGTGTTCATCAGAAAAGAAAATGGATTACCAGCTGCATCTGAAAAAAAACTACATACAGCGTTCGATATAAGAATGTACAACCAAGAATTCTTGTATAAGAATGGGGCCAAATAACCTGCCAGCTCCATCTTCGTTTCCATATGTGGAGGCTGTAGCTAGAGAATGTCAACATCAGATGGCTCAGCTCAGCGGTGCGGATGGAGCAGCTTCCATGTCACACCTCCAGGGATATAAATCTTGTATTGATGACGCAGGAACAAGGGGGTTTATGTGTCTTCAAAATTCTGTGGGTTTTGGTTTTGTTTGGGTTTTTTTCTATCAGTCTTTCGTGGCAGCAGTAAAGGATTTCCCTGCTAGCACTTTCTCTGTGTTATAGATCTTTCTGGTTTTGATGGTGTTTTTGTAATCAAGGAGTTGACTTGCTTTCTGGACAAAAATGCTGTTCATTTGCTTTCTTTGTCTTTTTTTGAATGAAGGGGTTTGCACGTCTTAGCAAACCAGACTGTATTTCTGTTAAATGTAGCAAATGAAACAAAGGTGGATTTTTTTAATGCTCTTTTCTAATTAGACTGTAAATAAAAGTAATGTGATTCATGTCATGTGTTTACCTGCGTTTCTCAGCGGTGGCCAAGCAGCAAGGGGAAGCTGCAGTGTAAACTTCCCTGTTTTGTTCTGCCCGTGGCCTCAGCGCTCTTCCAGAAGGACGCGGTTGTAGCCCAGACTGCATGGAAATGCTCAGGAGAGGCAAGGTGTGGAGATGAGGCTGTAGAGGATCTAAGGCTGCACGAGCTGGGGTAGGAATAGCCACAAAGGGATTTTGCTCATGGATTTCATCCCCTTTAGTTGTTTCTCTTGAGCTTCCTTGTGGGGACAGACCTGTCCCTCCAATCTGCCCCACCACCATGCCAGAGGGTATTGATAGCTGCTGTGTCTTCCGTAGTAAGAACGGGGCTGTCCTAACACCCACACAGAATCATAGAATCATTCAGGTTGGAAAAGATGCTTAAGATCATCAAGTCCAGCTGTTAACCTAATATGACCAAGTCCACCATGTCCCTGAGCGCCACGTCTACATGTCTTTTAAATACCTCCGTGAGTCATCCTTTAATGTTGTTTGAGCAAGACTGAGTGTACAGGGTCTGGGGGCTCACATGCCACACCAGCTTGCATATTTTGGGATTAACTTTGAATTTTGTTACACTACTCTGTTTTACAGTGCTTCTACAGTGTGAATCATTAGAGCTTTTTTTTTAAAAAAAATTACTAAAGCAATGCAGGGGGGATTTCTGTCTCCATTTTTCTGTGTGAAATGAGTGTCCATCTATTTGTCCATGTGTCCTCTGAATAGCGAGGCTGATCCCTCCTTACAACACCCAGGGTCCAACCCATGCAGTGCAGGGACTTTCCACAAAGGTAAACATGAACTTTAGCTTGTGGAACCACTCAGCACAACGGTTACCACTGACTTTTGCCTGCTGACCTATAGCCTCTGCTCACCTGGTGCAACTTTAAGGGAGTAACCTGATTGCCATCCGTACAGAACCAGAATGATATGTAAATGCTCTTTCTATGTGAGCCTAAGAAAAGAAAATCTTGATGCATATTGGCGAGTCAGCTTCTGCTGAACGGTGTTTCTAAAATAGACCAAAAACAAAGAAAGAAAGAAGAAAGAGAAAGAAAAAGTAAGCAAGTAACCTCTGCTGTTGCTATAAAACAGCTGGTGATTCATGCCAGCCTATTTTCCTTGCTCGGAATGAACTGATGGTTCTCACTGAGGCTACCAATTAGTGCTGCTTATCAGTTTTCCTTGAGCAGTAATTCACTCCTCAGCTGGTGGAGCGAATTTGTGAGGCCAAGCCTTGTCCTGAGGGTTTGATACTTTCTTCAGCAGTCCAGCTGACACAGCAGCATCTAGGAAATCTGAATCTGGGGAGCGAGGTTCATTTTTCAGTGGGGTGGATGGAAGAGGGCTGTAGTTGTTGTCAATCGTGGCAGCATCCCTGCTGCTGTGCCAGGTCTACGATGGAAACAGGTGGGGCAGGGCAGATCCCGCAGCGCTGTTGCTAAATGTCTCAGTGCCATGAGAGACGAGAGGAAATATTCCCGGACCCACTCGGCATCGGGTGGCAGGTTGTCTGCTCAGCCGACAAGAAATGCCAGCCTCCATCTGAGGCAGAGCTGTGGCGTTGGAAGTCTGCAAGTGACCCAGAGCAGAGCGAGATGGCGGCGACGGTGAGGGAGGCTGGGCTCTGCAGGGCAGCCCTGACTGCGTGCCAAGCCAGGAGGGCAGTCCAGGACTAACTCTCGGCTTCTGCACGGGCTTTATGTGCTCTTGGCGAGGCTGGCCTTGGAGGAGCCGCCCCAGCAGGGACAGCTTTCAACCCACGGGCGCAGGCAGGCTCTTTTATTAAAATGGGCTTGTCTGCAGCTTATCTCCTGGTTCTTTTGAGGAACAAACCAGACATTTGGCCCTCTCGTAGAGAAAGGTGGGATGTGGTGGATATTACGGTACAGCGGGTACACAGGGAAGATTTGATTTGATGTTTGAGCTGGACAAAATGCGTCCCTCCCTTCAGTCACTTGCTTGGCACCTCTACCCATCATTTCACCTCACACGTTTTTTTTTTCAGTGGTATGCTACTGTGCTATCTGGTTCCCTTCAGATTTCTACCCACCTTTCATCACGTTTTATAACAAACAGCAGGATAAATAAGTTCAGGAAGCTGAATACATGCAAGAGTGGCAAGAAGTAATCAACTCGTCCAAGCTTCTCCCAGGAATGAACTCCACTAATCTGACATCCTGGCAAGTCACCTTTAAATTAAATCCCTGGCTATTCCTAGTGTCTGCTCAATGAGTCACGGAGCAGAATAAAGCTTATTTCTCCTGTTTTTGCCAGAGCATTTAATTACTACTCTGGCTTACCGGAGGCTCTGAGGAAATGGCAGAGGACTCACAGCTATTGTCCTTTGTCCTGCAACATTAGCAGCAAGGAAGCACCCTTGCCCAGCTTGCTTTTGAAGTGCTGTAGCTGAGGAGAGCCGTACAGCACCACACCACGTCACTTGGGTGCTCCCAGGGCTTTGCCAGTCCCGGGCCAAAGTTTGCTTCAGGGATGAATGGCCTTTCTGTCCTCTGCCTGTCTGGAAGCCTGGCAAGGGGGGCAGGTTTTGTGTTGGGTTGCTGTAAAACCAGTTGTCTTTTTTTCCATATCCTGAGTCCCTTGTTAGCTAGCCACTGGCCTCTTCTGAGACAAAACTGATCCTAAAATGTTAGCAAGTTGTTGCAGTTACCTGTACAGAGTGTGCTTTGGAAATCCTTTTTCTTCAAGGAGCAGTAGAGAGCTTAAAGAGCTTGTAGATTAATGGACATAATTAAATTAAAAGAAAGTAAAGGAATAAAATTCTCCCCTTCCTTCTCCTTGTAGGAAATAGTATCAGGCTGCCAGGCCTGTTTTGGGGTGAAGTCGAGCCTGAGCTCAGAGGGTGTGGTGCTCCTTTCTGAATCCTGCATCATCTGCAAGGAGAGGCTCAGGGCTCTGGGCTTCTTCAGCTGGAGGAAGGCAGACTTAGGCGGGACCTGACAGCAGCTTTTCAGTACCTAAGAAGGGGTTGCCAACAAGATGGAGTCAGGCTACTGAGGTCCACAGCCAGATAGCAAGGAGCAATGGTCATAAATTGAAACTGGGGAGTTCCAGCTGGATATAAGGGGAGAAAAAAAATCACTAATATGATAATTAAGCATGGGAAGAGGTTGCCTCGGGAGGCTGGGGAGTCTCTGTCCCTGGAGGCTTTCAAGGCATGCCTTTCAAGGCATCAAAGAGCAGAGCAACCCGGTGTGAATTCAGCGTTGACCCTGCTGTGAGCTGTGACCTCCTGGGGTCCTTCCAGCCTGGGTGACTTTCTGAGGCTATGAGTGGGATCCTGCCAGGATCAACAGAAAGCTTGTATTTACCAACTGCATGGAGATGTAAAAGGCAGATATCCTCACCCCTGCTAAAAGCACAGATGCTAAGAATAAAGCTTTGCTTCTGATAACAAGGAGTGACTGGTGGAGATGGCAGTGCAAACTGCCTGAGGAACAGTTTGGCCCCCAGCGAAGTTTCCGCTGCACTGCACGATGCCGGCTGAAAGGCAATTGTCCTTTAGTGCCATCTCCTGGGAAAAAAACAGATTTCCAGCCTTGTCAGCCTGCCTCTTCGTCCTGTCTCATCTCCTGCAGGGCTTTCCTGCCCTCCCCCTGGCTGGCCTCCTGGTTTGTCCAGGCCCATCGTCAGGGTGCTGGGTCCCAGCGGTGTAACATGTGTCTCCGCAGACCAGTGTTTTCTACCCAGGTGAATCCTGAGCCTCCTGTTTGCAAGCGTCTCAGATGCAAAGCCATAGGAACATCGTTCTTGTTTGGTGGGTTTTTTTTCCTTCAACACCTAAAAATGCATTACACTTTGCCCTGAGGTTCTTCCTGTGCCTTGAAAGCATTCATTTAGGATGCTTCACTGGAGGAAAGGGGATGAGCCATGGCTACTTCTTCTTTCTGAGTCTCGTCCTCTGCTGGAGAGATCACAACTGCTTAAGGCAGGACATGTAATTTCAAATGCAGGAGGAACAGCGGTCGGCAGACTGGAACCACCCTCCCAGGAGCTGCCTTGGACCCCAGCTCCAGCACGCCGTCTGTACTTGCCTCCTGATGCTTTCTGTATTCCCCTACTTCTGCTGCCTATGAAGCAATCCTTGCTCCTTCCTTTCCTGAGACACTACGCGAGCATCAGATTGCTTTTTCAGCTGTGCCTCAATTAGGGTGGGGACTTTCCTGCCCTTGGTGAATCCCATCCTCCCCCCGTGATGGCTGCTAAACCATAGCTGCACAAGTGTGTTCCTCCTCGTGCTGTAGAATAAATGCACTGCTCCCCAGTAACGCCTCTCCTTCGGTCCTTACCTGCTCTCCCAGGTGACATGCAGCCCTACCCTGCCTATTCAGATTCCTAAAGCTGCCTGACTGATACTATATTCACCTGGAGAATTGCGATTATGGAACACGGGGAGAACTTGTAACGTCATTAGCCTGCATTAGTTAATACTGGGCCGAACACTAGCCTGCAATAACCATTTCTGTATTGTCCTGGTGAATTTAGAGACACTGAAGTTTAACGTTTGACTGAAGGAAAAAGACACTTTTCAATTCATCTTCCTATATGACTGGCCAGTGAACGAAGTAGCCTACTGACCTGGCCAGCTTTTTATGTATTTATGATTCCCTATGTAGGAAAGCATCACAAAAAAAGATCCCTTTATCTCATTGCTCTGGCTCCATTAAAAGGCACCTATCATTAATGTCTCTATTTTTAATTCTGTCATTGCCAATTATTTGCCTGAGATTTTTTCCCTACATGAATTTCACTGAGCTCATTTCTAGTGCGTGACTCACTGAACTCTGATTTCCTTGAAAATTGTAAGAGGAAACAGCAATGCTTTTATCGTCCCCTCCTCTCTATGAAGGAATCTTTTGAATTTATTGTTCGTTCTAAGTTTGGAAGAAGGATATAATTTGTGGGGGGGTGGGTGTAATATAATTTTTATCATATCTTGTTGAAATCAGCATAGGGGGACTGCATACTCGGCTGTGTCATCCCCTCATTCCTGCCTTTTGCTGAATTATCAGTCACTGGAAAAATAACTGGCATATCCCTCGTGTGGGCATTTAACCCTATTCCTTCACCGAGACAAGCGCAGCCTACGTTTAGCTCTGTCCTAACACCCTGTCACCAAATCCAGGCCAGCATCTTGCTGTCTTTGTCAGTGGGTTTTTTTTTTTGTAATGTCCATCCAAATCACCCCCTCAGTGCAGTATTTTATGCCTTTCTGAAGTACAGTGCACTGTGCACATACTGAAGACCTACAAGATCCACAGTCACTTGTCTTTTTTTTAGTAGAAACAAGTAAAATTCTTCAACTTTTTCCTCGTCATTCATCTTAGACCTCTGATTGAGCTGCTGCTACAAGAGAGTCTAGGTTTGCCTCTAGCAGAATTATCTCCAGTTGCCCACTGCATCTGAAGTCAGGTATGTTATTACTTTTTCCATAAGATTTGTTCCACTTGAAAATTTGTCACATGGATGCTTCTGAGCTGACACCATGCTTTTTCAAGATATGCCAGCATCACCCGCTTTCATGACCAAGAGAGCCCAGCCCCGGTTTGCTGTGGGACTGACACCGCAAATCCTTCGTCTGATCAGACACATTTTAAGGAGCCTGAGGCAAGAACCTGGTGCAGGAGAATTTCAGCACAACTGTCCTGAAGTTTGATGAAGTTATAAGCACTTGAAAACACGGTTATTTCCTTTTAAGTGCAGGTTTACCATGCCTACTCTGGCTACGGCAAATACAGTCCTGTTGTACAAGAGGCTATGGAGTGTAACAAGAGCAGTACCTACATTTTTTCTGGATGGCTCTATTCACATTGCTTTATAGCAGAAGGAGGTGGTGGCTCCTAAGTAAGCACAGGTGTGCCTGGGATGGAGGATTAAACAAACCTGCTGGTCAAGCTATTTACAGGAGGCTTTTTCAGAGGTGCCTGGCGTATGGGTGATGAAGGCTTTTCTCAAAGGCTGCAGTCTTAGACCTAAAATGTTAAGCCACAACCATGCTCTCTGCAGCTATTTCTAATTTTACATTCCTTGTATCACAGCAGGAGAGGAGAGATTATGCAGATGCTGCTGCCTTCTGTTATTCCCTTTAAGCTCCTTCATGCCATAGTCTTCAAGAAGAGCCAGGGCTGAACGTAACAGCTGCTTTTCAGGGCTGGTCTGAACAAAATCTTCTTAGGCTCCAGGCTGGTAGATTTAGGGAATGAAAGTTTAAGGTCCTTCTTGGATTTAGAAATCATTTTGTCTCTAAATTAATATGCAATCACTAGCAAAGGCTAGTTATTTCTGAATTTAGTTAACAAATCCTTCAAACGGAAAGATGCTGGTTTTGTACACCATTGTGCCGCCCATAATGTGTAACTAGGGAGGAGCTGTAGCTATTTGCAACACCACCACACTATATAGGTCCATACTGCTCCAAATTGTCATGCTGGTAAATGTATATATACACTCCAGACCTGTTTTTTTCTGGCACCCTGAAGAAGGGAGCAAGCAGTAAATCGTCCAAAATTATTTTCCCTTATTTCAAATCCTGTCATTTTGATGTCTCTTAGACTGAAGTCCGGAGGGCGAAAGCTTTCTGCATTTTGTGATTTGCACAGTGGAGAATACTACCAGTGCTCAAGAAATCACAGAAGGTAGTTACTCATTTTTGCCTTAAGCTTGTGAAAATAAGCAGCAATGTTCATTAGGAATGCCTTTGGTTTTTGAAAAACTTGTAACCGGCATAAATATTAACTTTTTTTTCATTTATTTATTTCATTTGATGCATTGCTTTTATTGTTAAGATTTGAAAACTAGTTCGCGTTTTTGTGTTTTTTTCCCTTTAGTACTTATGTTAAATTGTTTTGATTCATGCTTATCAAACAGTGCTTACTAATTAGACAGTCATTGCACTTCTGTTGAACATTTGCTAATACATTAGATGTCTGGTTCCCCTTACAGCATTCTTCTGCTCCTGTGGGTGTGGTTGCAGATTAAAGATCTCTGTGTGAATTCAATTAAATTAAAAAATGTTGACTCCATGTCAAATGAGAAGATTAACTGAGAGCGCACAAGTGCTCTCAGTCTGCTCAGCAGGGCTGGCTCTTCTCTCATGTCTGTGGCAACATCATAAAAGTCATCACAAGTAATTATTTTTGACTCAGTGGGTCAGCGATTTGAAGGTGGTGGGGGAGGTCTGGTCAAACCAAACCAAGCAATTTAGCACCTATGATGTACCTGGCGCAATCGGGTGGTCCCAGGGGTATGGAGGACGGGGCGTCTCACCGTGGATAAGTGGTCACAACCCGCCTGTGCTGCCGCGGGACGGCGTGTGGTGGATTCAGGCTTGCTGCCAGGCAGCTGCCACAGCTGCCAGGAGCAACGGAGCAAGGAAAGCCAGCGTGTGAGGAGATCGGCCCTGCCAGAGATACCCCTCCAGTCTTCCCTGTGTCGGTCCCATCTCAAGCGCACCAGTTCTGCCTCATTTCAGACTGGCCGTTTAGGGTTACGAGCGGGAGCAGGAGGGGAGGGCTGTAGTGGTGAATGGAGGAGGAAATCTGCAGCGCTTCGGCACAACTCCGTGTCCTCCCGGGTGCCCTGGGAGGCTTACGGGGACTCCCGTGATCTTGAGGCCAGACAGCGTGACTGAGCAGAATGGAAAGGAAGCAACCTTCAGAAGATCCCCATGCCACAGACGCAAGGCAGGTAACTTATCTCATAAAAAACCTCGATTTGCTCAGTAAAGTAGTGCAAGAAGGGGTTTCAAGGGATGTGGAAGGTGCGCAGGTGGCAGGCCACCTCCGCACATGCCTCCCACACAGTCCAACAGCAGCACAAGGCTCTGCTGATCAGCAGTTAACCCGAACAGCTGAATTTCACGTCCTCACGTACTTCTACACAGCTCATGCTTTTCCTGCAACGTTGTTTTTACTAAAAGCCCAGATATTAAAAGAAACGCATTTACTGCCTGTATTTTGTCAAGATGGACCGTGGCAGCGTGCACTCAAATCTTTTCACTCTTTCTTCCACCGAAGGTCTTGGCCCCGCGGAGGCCTCGGCCC